GCTTAATAACAAAAAAAAATATAATTAGAAAACTAACAAACAGTAGCATATGTGGTATGTTTATATCCATTAAATGTAGGTTTATTGGGTATATTTTGAATTCTAATTTTTTTTGGATTATTTAACCCAGTTTCCTTTTATTTTTTCCCAAACCAATCAGAAATGGTTTTTATTATCTTTTTAAATCACATTTAAAATAAAATAAAAAACTGCTAATTAATTTAACATCAACAATTCTAGTAATAACTCTAACCAATTACACCCAATATTTTTTACTAAACCTTATTAAGCATGAATTTTGGATGGTTTACAAAGAAAGACTATGAATTCAAAAATTAGAATGAAATTTACTCGACCTCTTTAGTCAAACTATTTTTGAACTTTCTAATGCTAAACCATTTCTTAAAGCTCTAACTAATGTCTATATTTTTTGCTACAAATCTACAACACACATAAACCGACCGCGAGTTGAATCTAAAAATTGAGAAAAAAAACAATATTACAAACTTCGTTCAGATTTAACTTGAAAGAAAATGTTTAAAACTACTTAATTAATAGACTAAACTCACATATGTAGCTCAAAAAAATCTACTTAGTTCGAAAGAAAAATCCAACACTTAACTAGTGCTATAACTATAGAAGTTACAAATAGAAGCAAAGAAATATACATAACACTAATTCATCTTCTTTGCAGCAAAGCTTAAGCAAAGATTTGTAACTTTTACCAGATTACAACAAGAAACAAAAGAAAAAAAACACGTCACAGGTAACCTTATAGTCTAATATATGCTCATTCACACAAGATCGGGTAATAAAAACAAAATAAAAGTTCTCACATCTAAACTCATTCCTTTCTAGAGAAAATGTCTAAAACTTTTATCATTTCACCTATTAATTAAACGCAAATTAAGAGTGATAGAGCGACTATCTTTGGATGACTATTAACTAACCACTATTGTAAACCGATGTCTTTAATCTTCATCATGCATGCACGTAAAGTATATATACGTGTCTTTATTACTACGTTCATTATTGTTCGTTTCTTATTGATCTTCTCGAAAGCATATATATACGAATAAATTAACTATGTAATCATTTGCCAATTTTTTATTTTATTTTTTTTTAACTCATCATAGCTCGCATTTACAGAGTCTATCGAGCTTCATTAATTTATTGGCCAATGATCGATACTAGTTGACGAGTTCTTCATCAATCAGTACTCTTAATCATCTTTTATTGTTAATCAAACTTTTGTGTGTGTTTTAATTATTTTATAATAAATAGTTAAACGTTACTCGCTAGGCATTTTTTCGTTGCATGTAAATGGTCCTCTTTTGACAAACCTTACACATTTCATTATCAGCGTGACGTTTTCTCGTGTTTCATCTTCACACATGAGCAACCAAATTTTAAAATTTGGCTGTTAATTACCAAGTAACCGAAGACGAAATATGTATGACCTGATTAATTAATACACAATTATAGTAATAAACTCCAATGAACGGAATCAAATCCATATGATTGGTTTGCATGCATTAATATCTCGTGTTTCAGTTTAAAAAAAAATATATATATATCGTGTAGTTAAAAGTCTAATATTCCATGCAACCCAATCA